AGGCTGAACTTGAAAGGATCGTGGTCAGCTTACGCTAATGACGCAAAGCAATGGCTACAGATTGATCTAGGTAGCAATCCTGTCACTGTCACACGGGTGGCAACGCAAGGAAGTAATTTAAAGAGCCAGTGGGTAATAAATTACACGCTAAAATACAGCGACGACGGTTTGAATTTCCAGTTGTACAAACAACAAGGGCAAAGTGAACACAAGGTTAGACACCTCTGCAGACATTTACATTGTGGGGAGTTTGTTACTTTTTTAAAGATGTGATTGTTGCTTGTCAAAAACAGTAGATACAGCAAATAGTTGACTAAGGAAGCAGAATAAAGTTCAGTAATCTGTTTCACTGCATGTAACTCTTAAACCCCAAAAAGTTATTATCAGAGGCAATGTATTCATGTTGTAAGTTTTGAGATCTTGTGCATCCTTTACCCCTTCGTTAGTGAACTGTACTTTTGTTCTTCGTCATTTCCTTCACCGTGCTTAATCTCCTCATTCAACTCCCTCTGAGGAGTCATTCGGGGTAATTGAGGCTAATAAAAGTTTCCAGCACCAAGCAAACACGAAGGGGGTTCATTTGGGGTCGAGGATAATTTGTGGTCCGTTTAAGCCATCCTTTCCCTTTTGGGGTGTTGTGGTCGGGGCTCATTTGCGGTACCATACAGTTCCCCTGATCCCCAAAATAATTTTGAAGTTCACTGTTTTCTAAAAGTAATTTTAATTAACATGTCCCCCAAAATTCAATGCTGTCAACTTTCCGAAGTTTCAAACACATAGAGTTGCAATGGGGGCAGGCCTAACCTATTGCAGAACCTGAAAAGGCATCCGTGTAAAAAACGACTTCAGGCCCCAGTCTACTCGCAACCAAGTCACAACCGACTGCAATAGACCAGAGAAGCAGCAAAATTGTCAAACATTAGAAGTCTGACAGTACAGTGTAAAAGTTTTTTCGAAAATGATATTATTTTGAGCTAGAAAATCAATGTTCCCCTGTTACTGGAAAGACTCAGCCGTTAACCTTTTCCCTGGAGGTCATTTCAGGATACCTCTTGTTTCGTCCTAAAAGTAAATGGACAAGGTCCCTTTTGTTCCCCAAAACCCCTGCTCAAATTTCATATTTATAGTGTATGTTTCAAAGTCCATTTTAAAAAATTAAGGACGATAATCGAGTAAAAATTACCCTCCATACTATTACAACATCAGTAACATTCACCAGAAAACACTAGCTTTTCTCCAAATGATTCCACTTCTCAACCAAAAACAATCATATTTGCATGTCTACATGCTACTATGAACAGCTTTCATTCGTATCAGAGGTTACGTCTAGGTGTGCAGGGACCCGGGGGTGTTCTGAAATTCAGTGCCTTGTAACACAAAATGTCATCCTTCGATTTTGAATAGCAGGCAAATGGCGTCAAAACCGTGACTAATTGTCCATCTAAGGGGGCGGTCATTAACTATTGGGGGGAGGGCTGGTAAATTTTGGGGGAGGGATGCGAATTTTTGGGCGCTAATTTGGGGAGGACAAAAATTTTCTGAGCCCGCATGAGGGGAGGGTTACAATTTTCTGGGCGCCTTTGGGCGATGTGCGCGTACTTAATGGGTTTTGTGTTACTGAAATATTAAGCACTGCTTGAAATACGATGGCCGTGCAAGTAATATTAACAGAATTGCATACTCAAAGATGAACCGCACCGTTAAAAAGCACTCTGATTGGCTGGAGATGAGGAGTGACTTCACGTGAAATAGCTTGCAATTCGCTTGACTTTGAAATGGCTTTGAAAACAGCGCACGGGAATTATGAATAACGAGACTGAGAACTGAACGCTCAACAAAATAGACGTATGAATTAATTGCGTTCGATCCAGGGAATGCAGGATATCTCGTTTCCGAGAGTCCAATTTTCATTTTTTTTTCCAGGGGAACATGCCCCCGAACCCCCCTATATAATTCGTACATTTGGGGCTGACAGTACACTTGTTTCCCCAGTGACACTAGTGCTTAATGCGGTTCAGTTACAAAAAACTCCATACCTGGACCAAATGAATGATGATACCGAGAAACAGTGGTCCAAAATCTACATAATTCTGGATGAAAACAGAAGTCTGAACACCAAAGAAACTACAAAAAAAAAAACTAAAGCTGCAGTAAAACGGGCAACAAGAAACGTGCAACTTGTTTTGCAACATTGCTGCAAACCAAGTTGAGTAGCGATGTTGCGTGTTTTAACACCCATGTTCGACCCTGTTTTGCAAGAAATAAGGTTGTAAGGTTTGTTTTCGTAGGTGGTAAAACGAGCAACATCACTATTCAACTCATTTTGCAGCCATGTGGTAAAACAAATTGCGCGCTTTTTGTTGCCCGTTTTACCGTTCTTTAGGTAGCCAATGAGAACATCGTTAAATGAATAGGTGATCAAAAGTCTTCGTGAATCATGAATCTGGACGAAAATCATGAATCATTGAGGTAATAAACGACAGGAATCATGAATATCAAGATTCAAATGATTCCGCTTCTACCCCCGAAAATATTTTAAATAGTAACACTTTTTTATTCCAGTGAAATAATTTTCTCAAAGTTACGCTGATATGGATTCTCGCGATGCAACATTCGAATACTCAAAATGTTATTAGGGGAGGGTTACAATTTTTTGGGCACACATTTTTGGAGGGGGCAGGATTTTTGGGCTGTTAACCTGAAAGGGGCTAAAAGTTTTGGGCCCTCACTTTTGAAATAATACCGCCCCGCACCGCCGCCCCCCCCCCCCCAACCAATAGTTAATGACCGCTCCCTAACTTCTGTTTTTTATTTTCTTTTTTTTTTTGGCCTGATTTAGGTGTTTGTTGGCAACACAGACGAGAATACTATCGTTTATAACGAACTCAATGGGTCGATTGTGGCACGCTACACACGTTTTCAACCAACAGCTTGGCATAGCCACATATCAATGAGGGTGGAACTATATGGCTGCAAAGGTATCTTTTGGGTAACATCCTTCTTTTGTGGAATTTGGAAAAAATACAAACAAATCCTTGTTTGATTTATCACTTTTGGCGGCCTTTACTACTGTATTACTAAATAAATATTAATGTTTACATTTACCGTCATAGCGTTTCGTGACCGCTGAAGAAACCTATTCAATTTCCTATTGAATAGGTTTCTCCCATTGAAGAAACCTTTAATTCTGATACTTTGACCTCGGCGTGACTTCATAGAATCCCCAATATAGAGAAGAAGGAATTCATGACTCACGTTGTGGAAACCCTTTGGGAAAACAACAAACAATAACAAACAAACAAAAATAAAGTTCAGACGAACTGAGAAATATTTCATCTCAAAGCTTTTTTATTGAGCGTATTATGTTGTGGTTCAATTTTTTTCCATGGTTTAGATTTCATTTTCCTTTGTTTTAATGTCATTATCATAGCTTTATCATACATTACCATACCCTAAAACAAAGGATCGAAAATAAAATTTAAACCATGGAGAAAATTTAACCTCAAAATATACATTCCTTTTTCGGTCGCAGTTAAAGAGTCCTAGGTCTACATCAAATGCTGATAATTCTAAAGATTATAAAGGGCCGCGGAAGACCGAAGTATCATGAAATATAGAGTAGCTAATTACAGGTTTGTTTGATATCGCCATCTTTACTATTGGAATTAACTTTTCTTGTTTGTTTTGTTAGGAAACCCCGTATACAGCCGCTGGTTTCTAGACGGCAGTGATCCAGATTTGAGGTAAGTTGGGTCATATATATATATATATTGTTTGTTCAAGGTTGTGGGTGGAGCAGGGGCGGAGATGTGGCGTTTTATGCCTTACCCCTATTTTCGGATTTGTCTTCCCCTCTTAACTTTGTCTAACTCTTAAATATATTTAACAATTAGTTCATGCGTCAGCGTGCGTATGTCGAGATATTGAGCACGGGGGAAGTTTGGAGAGCACGAAAGAGGTGTAAGAGTTGCACGAGGCGCAGCCGAGTGCAACTCTAGCCTATTGAGTGCTCTCCAAACTTCCCAAGTGCTCAATATCTCGACATACGCACAGCTGCAGCATGAACTAATTGTTTTATAACATTATCAAAGCGATCAATGCAGCAGTTAACTTAAAATTTTATTATTGTAGGGCGCGCTCAAAGCAGTAGGCGTCAATGTTTACGTGACTATATTTTTTTTCCTCACAGTTAATCTTATGTTTTTATCCTGAAACTGAGAGAAAGTGTACTCTAAAATGTTTGTAAAATCCATATTTAGGTGCCGGAAAACTATCAATTTACCGAAAAATTGTTATTGAGAGAAAACAACTTTGCAAAGAATGATTACACGCCATAGCCCGCACAGCTCGCGGAGATGACAACAACAACAACAACAGCAACACTCACCTCTTTTCCTTACTATCGGTTAACAAATTCAAACGTTTCCTCTTAAATTTCCTTATAAAACACATGGTAAACCCTTCATTGTCTATTGCTGAGTTATGGATGCACTCAGGAGACTCAGGATTGCTAAGCTCCCAACAACTCGAGGAATTACGAATAGTTTATTGACGTCATCAGGGTGCTCAATAGGAATATGAAGCACGCTGGCGCTATTGAATTTGATTAGGCGAATTTTCTAGCTATGTTATAATTTCTGATTGACCATGCTCTCTTGACCACATCCAGGTTTCAGTATCGCCTCAAACTTATGTATTTGCCTTTCCGACTGCTGCAGGTGGCATTACACTCATGGCGTTAACTGGTTAAATTTTTGTCTTATAACGTAGGATTGTATTCGAGGGTAAAATAGTGGCTTGCATGTTCCTATGACAGGTAATTCTTTTATTCACAGCTAGATTATTTTCATTGGTTTTTGTGATCTTACAGGTATTTTGGTACCGTTAACCATACTGAAGGCTGGTGTCCTGGAAGCAAAGCGGCGACTTTCAGTCAAAATGGTTCTTATGCCACTGTGCCCAACATGAACATAACAACCTGTGACTTTACAATTGCATTTTGGGTAAAGTATACTGGTGTTGACGGACCTATACTGGCACTTTGGTCAAAGGATGGAAAACTATTTTACGTTACAGTCAAGAATTCTAGACTCATTTTATCGATACACAACACTTTCCACTTACAAATCAATTCCTGGAATCACGTAGCAGTAACCTGTCAGGAGCATAAGATCAAGGTGTTAGTTAATGGTACGAAGAAGGCATTGGTAGACCAATGGAATGAGTATTTCTTCTCATCGTTAGGCCGTTATCAGTCAGAGTACATCATAGGGAATGATCCGGGTTTAGTTCAGATGCCAATGGCAAATGGGGTGTTTGTTGGAGCAGTCATGGATCTTTATGTGACTGGAATAGCTTTATCTGCGAAGCAGATTGGTGACTTAATTAAAGGTGAGAGTAGTATCTATTCAAGGGTAAGTCGTATTCTTCGACTGCAGTCTCAAATCCTCAGTAGAGGTCTGTTGAATGTTAAAATACATGTATTGTTCTTTTACAGTCTTTGCTTGACATTTAAGGGCAGCTTGGAACTTTTAAAAAACGCAAACTTAATTATTAACGTTATGCGTGGAAATGAATAATTAATCGTGGTATTATTCTCACTATTTAAAGGCAAACCAATTACACCCGTGATAAACAAAGAAGAGTCGGAAATACATGGTTGCAAAGTCAATGTAACGTGGAGTAGAAAAGAATTATGCACTATAACAAAGATCACTGTACGCTTCAGGGAGATAAAACCTCAAGTCGATGAAGCTGAATGGACAGAATATAATGTTTCTTCAACCACCTCTTATCTCTTATATCTGGAATGCGACAAGAAATATGAAATTGCAGTATCTTCTTGGTTTGGAGAAGTTCAAAGCGACTGGTCAGTCTCTCGGAAATTTAAAACCCGCTCTGCAGGTGCGACATTATCTTATGTACACTGTATGTCCAATAGCTGATAAGAATTTGGTATCTGACATGAAACTATATCTAGTCCGGCAAACCTCTGCCAGGGCCCATAAGCGGAGCGGTCACCTCTTGTTAAGGAAGCGGACACCCCTTTCAGCTCCCTCAGAAGCCACGTGGAAAAAAAACAAATCAAGACGGAAATTTATCACGAGAAATCCTTTGATGTTTTAATAGGAACAATAAAAATGAACAGATTAGCCTCCGCATATGGGAATGTAATATGTAATTTTTATACTTTTAGCGATCGTTCTCCTCCAATTAGTCTGTCATGACGTTGGATATTTACATTTTCATGGCCATCTTGACTTTTGGGCCTGCAGTCGGCAAATTAGCGACGAAGCCCCAAAAATTTAACAATTTCTTTCATCTAAGCCACTTTCACTGAAAGAGGTGAAAAAAAAGCTTTTTAAGAAACGTTTTCTTTTTATCATTCATAATATAGACTATTAATCCTCTTAAAGTTCAGAAAAACTTCTGTGTTGGTAAATTTTTGTTTATACGTTTCAAAGTCAGCCGGCTTACTTTGACACCCAACCTCCCCTCTCCCCCCACCCTTCCCCGACCGGCAAAACTAAGCGAGGAGGACAAGACTGATGTGACACAATCGCTGTTTTATACTTTGACTCGTCTACCGTAAATACTTGATTGTCGCTCAGCTTAGGATAGCGCTTTCCTCCCTTAACCTTACTACTGATGGTGCGTTTGATAGAACTTATCCTAAAGGAAAACATTCTGGATGTAATATATCAAACATGAGATGCAGTGTTTCATCACCAGATGAAACACCGAGAAGAGAGTTGAAAATACGACGCGCAGCGGAGTATTTTTGACGAACTTCGAGGTGTTTCATCTGGTGATGAAACACTGTGTCGAATGTTTGATATTTCTTCTCAAACAAAATCATTTTTGAAGGAGAAATTAAGGATGCAAATACTAAGCAGTGTTTCATTCGATTTCCAAACGCTCGTTAAAAATTAATTTCCTTTGTATTTTCTTAATGAATTATTAATGAGTTTGAGAATACTCTTTACAAAATCTATCGTTCCGTTTTCAAAGATGATACAAAGATGGCGAAATGGAAAAAGCAATGATCAACATTGTTGACAGGAGATAAATTATTATTTTTGGGTTTTAATTTGGTACGTTTTGTTTCGTTTTATTTTGTTTATTTGTTTTTTTTTTCTTTTGTAGAAGACATTCTAAAGCAATATCTAAAGGACGAAAATTGTCATTATCATTTTCCTTTTTCCTTCATAAACAGCAATGTTGGCCAATATTCATGCGGTTTAAATTCTAAAGAATTGTATATGAGTTTCGAAATTAAAAAAAATCGTTGTTATGTGTTCAAGTCCTCCATAAAACGTAAAATTTGGCAGTTTTACGCCTTGGAAGCACTGTGACGGTAAAGCACTGGGATGTTACTAAAAAGGGAAACGGAGAGCAGGGAACGAGAAAAGGGGGATGAGAAAATGAAAAGTGCGAACAAAACAGAGATTTTGAAGGGTTGAAGTTAGGTTTTGTTCCCATAACACTTAACCCCCCCCCCCCCACAAAAAAAAATTCCAGAAAGCAATAATTAATATAACGCCCCAAAAATCCGTTCTTAAATTAAGCTAGCCAAAAAAATTCTTACCAAAATTCTCCTACCCCAATAAAATTCCGAATTCGAAAATTTCAAACCCCAAAAAATCCTTCCATCATTCCTGTCACTTGAAATTCGGAGAACCCCCCGGGTGCAGCACGTGCAAAGTTGTTATTCTGCCGATACCAACCTTTTGCTTTTTTGCCCCTCTCTTTGCCTTTTTGCTTATTGATAACCCACAACGTCTGCCATTATTCTTGTTGTTGTTGGAATTATTCCGTTTTATGCTCCCAGAAGCATTCAAAGTAACAGTGAAAACAATAAGAAAAAGATCAAGCTTACACACGATATACGTATTCGTATCCCAAAATGAGTTTAATGGAACGAATCCTAAGCAGGCTCCCGTGTTTCTTTTGTTAGGAAACCTCGTATACGGCCGCTGGTTTCTAGACGGTAGTGATTCAGATGTAAGGTTAGTAGCGGTTATACATATCTAGTTTGTTCAATTAATGTTGGGGGCGGGGGTGGGCGGGAGAGGAAGTGGCGTTGGATTCTTATACCTTACCCCTATATTGGGATGTCGGGCTTTTTTGCAACCGATTTTGCGCGAAAACCTCTTCTTTGATTCTTACTTTTTTCTAACTCTTAAATAAAATTTCAGATCGATCATTTCATAGGACATCCAGGTTTCAGCACTGCTTCAAACTTATGCATTTGCATTTCTGACTGCTGCAGGGGGCATTATACTCTGCGTTGACCGGTTAAATTTTTGTCTCATAACGTAGGATTATATTGGAGGGTAAAATAGTGGCTTGCATGTTACTATAATAGGTAATTCTTTTTTATTCACAGCTAGATTCTATTCATTGGTTTTTGTGATCTTACAGGTATTTTGGTACCGTTAACCATACTGAAGGCTGGTGTCCTGGAAGCAAAGCAGCGAGTTTCAGTCAGAATGGTTCCTATGCTACTGTGCCCAACATTAACATAAGAACCTGTGACTTTACAATTGCATTTTGGGTAAAGTACATTGGTGTTGACGGGCCTATACTGGCACTTTGGACACAGGGTGGAAAACTATTTTACGTTACAGTCAAGAAATCCCGTCTTCTTTTATCGATAGACAACACTTTCCACTTACAAATCAGTTACTGGAATCACGTAGCAGTAACTTGTCAGCTGCATAAGATCAAGGTGTTCGTTGATGGTACGGAGGAGCCACTGATAGACCAATGGAATGAGCATTTCTTCTCATCGTTAGGCCTTTATCAGCCAAAGTACATCATAGGGAATGATCCAGGTTTAGTCCAGATGCCAATGGCAAATGGGGTGTTTGTTGGAGCAGTCATGGATCTTTATGTGACTGGAATAGCTTTATCTACGAAGCAGATTGGTGACTTAGTTAAAGGTGAGAGTAGTATCCATTCAAAATAAAGTCGTATTCTTCGACTGCAGTCTCAAATCCTCAATAGAGGTCTGTTGAATGTTAAAATACGTATATTGTTCTTTTACAGTCTTTACTTGACAATATAAGGGCAGCTCGGAACTTTTAAAAAATGCAAGCTTAATTATTAACGTTATGCGTGGAAATAAATAATTAATCGTAGTATTGTTTTCATTATTTAAAGGCAAACCAATTACACCCGTGATAAACAACGAAGAGTCGAAAATACATGGTTGCAAAGTCAATGTAACGTGGAGTAGAAAAGAAATATGCACTATAACAAAGAGCAGTGTACGCTTTAGGGAGATAAAGCCACTAGGCATTGAAGCTGAATGGACAGAATATAGGGTTCCTTCAACCACCTTTCATCTTTTGTCTCTGGAATGCGACAAAGAGTATGAAATTGGCGTGTCTTCCTGGTTTGGAAAAGTTCAAAGCGACTGGTCAGTTTCTTGGAAATTTAAAACCCGCTCTACAGGTGCGACATTACCTTATGTATGTGTAATAATAGCTGATAGGTTTTGGTATTGGCACCAAACCATATCCAGTTCAACCTCTGCTTTGGGTCCACAATAGCCGGGTTCTGAAATCCCGCCTTCCCGCAAGTTTTTTCCTCTTAATTCCGCTATCCCGCCTGTTTTTACGTCCGAATCCCGATCCCGCCTAGTCTGCTACACAGGCACAAAGTTTGTGGGGAGGAGCGTTGTGTGACGACACTAAAAACTGCTGTGTAGCAGACTAGATCCCGTCCTAATTTCTTTACGAGTTTCCTGCTTTCATTATTGAAATATTAAAACGTTATACAATGTTTAAGACTTGCTTTCTTGCAATAGGCAGTTTTGATGTTTTTAAATCAAGAGCCTTCAAGGCTCTTGACATAACCATTAATAGCCTGGGATCAGGCTCCGTAGTGGTGAAAAAAGGCAAAAAACGGGATCAATTCTTTTCTCCCTTTTTCCCCAAGGCGGAGCCTGGTCCAAGGCTAAACCATTAACGACTGTAACTTCATTTTCTGTTTTGCTTATTGTTATTTTGGGGGAGCACATCAGAACAAAAAAGAAGGCTTACTTCGATATGAGTTGTGGCCATTTGGAAACATCCAGTTGAGTTGGATTGATGGATGTTTTGATTGATTTACTGCTAGGTTGCATTAGTTGATGAACCCAGTTGTCTTCGCTGACAACGGCTCATGGAAAGTGTGTATGAACACACTGGTTGGACAAATTGATAGAATGTTCGCTTTTGTGGAAACCCAAACCTAGACAACCCCATGCAGAAAGCTTACTTTTCCACCCTTCTTGCCCTTGGTCCTCGATTTCTTCCTCTTTTTTATATATTGCTACTTGTACTCATTCGTGTTTAAAATCCCTGTACTTTCTTCCATTCTTAAATCCGCTCAAAAATAGGTGCGTGTGACCTGCAATAGTTTGCAAAACAGTCCTCTTTTCTCACAATCGGTTTTAAAAGGTGCGAAGTACAGGCGATGACTGTGTAAAATTAACCGCGTATTTTTGGCGTCTCTCCCTAGTCTAATTCGTTTTTTGGCCTCACTCCAGACCTTTCCATTGATCGTTCGCGCACACCGTCAGTTACCAAGTAACGAAACAAGACGAAAACACTCAAAGGTGATAATGGATAAAACTGAGAGGCTTAATTTCCTTGGCGACTAGTAGTTCCTAGTACATGGGCGGTGTACACAAAGAAGTCAAAATGTGGTCACAACAAAATTTAATTCCCGTATCCCGCTACTTTTCCCTTACGATTCCCGCATCCCAACCCAATAAAAATAGGAAACCCCGCTCCCTCTCATTATCAAAATTCCCGCTTCCAGCTCCTTTTTTAGCTCGCATCTCGAGTATCACCACCAAAAACAGCCAAATCCCGCATTCCGCCAAACTTGTGGACCCTTTCTGCTAGGGGTAGACCTCTAGGAAAGTAGACACCCCCTTTCAGCTCCATCATAAGCAAAGTGAGCAGCAAAACAGATCAAGACGGAAATTTACCGCAACAAAGCCCTTTGATGTTCAACAACAATAAAAATGTACAGATTATAGCCTCCGCTTATTGGAAGTTTATCATTCTGTAACTTTCAAACATTAAGGGACTGTTCTTCTGTAATAAATAGCCTGTCACGACGCTGTATGTTCATGGCCATCTTAATTGGCCTGCATTTCTACATTTGGCAAATTGACGGTGAAGCTGGCAAAAAGAGACCAGTTTCAATATATCAAAAGTCAAACTTTGGGGGAATAAAATAAAATAAATGTATTATTCATTGTTGTGCCTCAAGTATGAATTTGAACATATCAAAATTGTTCTACAGTATTTAACATTTTCTTATTTCCAAACCACTTTCAGTGAAAGAGGTCAAAAAGCTTTTAAGAAAGGTTACTATAAGAAAATCACAATCAATTGCAAAAGCGGTCAGCTGGCAATGTTTGCTTGCCCTTTAAGGTTACGTTAACACGGTACCGGTCGAATTTTCAACCGGAACCGTTCTATATTTTTGCGCTGTTCACACGGAACTGTCGAGCTGTAATATTTCCAAGCAAAGTGAGTAATAACATGACTCGTAAATCCACGTTCGCTGGTTCCTGTTTTGGTATATACTTCATGGTGGAAATTAAGCCACAACTGCACCAGTAATATACACTCTGTGTAACATGTAGTATTGTGTCTTCTCACTGATAGTCAGTAGTAGTAACTAGTAGTTACCTGTAGTTACTAGTAGTTATTAATAGTTACTAATAGTTACTGGTAGTTGCTAGTAGTTATATTAGTTGTAGTTACTTGTAGTTACTGGTAGTTGCTAGTAGTTATTGGTAGTTGCTAGTAGTTACTAGTAGTTACTTGCAGTTACTAGTAGTTACTGGTAGTTACGAGTAGTTAAAGGTAGTTGCTAGTAGTTACTGGTAGTTGTACGTAGTTACTAGTAGTTACTGGTAGTTATTAGTAGTTAAAGGTAGTTACTAGAATTTACTTGTAGTTACTAGTAGTTACTGGTAGTTACTAGAACTTACTAGTAAATGCTATTAGTTACCTATTTTCCTCTCTTTTTCCAGCTGAGTAACCACGCATCCATGAAGCCACGCCTTTGCCATGCAAAAATTTTGCCGGTCACGGTAATATTTTGTATTCAAAACAGTAGCAAACAGGTAACCAATGTAGCTCGCGAAGCAGAGGCGTGATAGGGCACGACTTTCGGGCGCAGTAAATTAAGCGAGCACTACCATTTAGAGAACAAATCTTGTGTATAAATAGTAAACAAAAGCGGTCGGACACAAGAACCTTGAGGGACATCCCATTTTAAGTCAAACGGCTGCGAGAGCGTCTCCTTTATGCAGATTCTTTAAGATCTCCCTTCCAAGTACGATTTGAACCAGGAAAGAGCAGTACCACAGACACCTAGTATCATTTGAAGCGATTGTAGTAAAATCCCATGCTCAACGGTGTCGAAGGCGGCACTTAAATCCAGCAGTAGTAAGAGAGATATATTGTCCTTGTCCACATTCATTAGTAGATCATTCGTTACCTTGAACAATGCAGTCTCCGGACTGTGATGGGAGCGATAAGCAGATTGCAATTGAGGGAATAGCTTATTTGTAATCATGTCACAAACTGCAAGTTGCTTATTAGACGAAAATTCTTGAACAGTAGATCGAGGCAGGGTTTTTTTAATGATGGGTATACCACAGCAGTTTTCCAGGTTTCAGCAAAATACACAGTCTGCAAGGAGGATCTGAGATCTGAGAGGCCAACACACGCTCTGTCAATTTAGACACAAACTGCAAGTTGCTTATTAGACGGAAACTCTTGAACAGTAGATCGAGGCCGGGCTTTTTTAATGATGGGTTCCAGGTTTCATCAAAATGTCCAGTCTGCAAGGAGAGGTTGACCATATTAGTGATGGCGGGAAGGAGTGAGTCTTAAGGTGGCTCCGTAATTAATACAAGAGCATTTTGCTGTGACAAATTTTCGGTGATAACTTTTTGGTTTTTAACGTCATGGCTGCGAAACTTTGCAAAAAGCAACAGATATCATTCGGCAATAATACGAAATATTCCGATTTCATTGATGGTAAATATTTCGTGAGAAATTAGCGCTTAAAAGAACCCTACTGTTCAAAGAAAATCGCGTCTAGTAAAAAAATTTGCTGATATTTTTTACTGAAATTTCTGGTATCGGCTTTAATTGACATAATAAATATGCCAGAGGAATTTCAGAAAAATCGTTGGCGCAGAAGTCCGTAACTAAAAGTCGCTCAAAATTCAGCTCTGAAATTGTTTTGGAATTTCAAAAATAAATTACTATCAGGTAGAAGGAGCCACCAGTTTGAATTTTCGGGACAAGTAAATTCAACGTTTGCTAATTCTTAAACCAAAAGCCGATTGCCTATCGTGCTATTCTATAAAAGGTACTTTTTAGTTTTAGAAGCACTATAAATTGCTCCCCAACCTTGGTCTGAAGTAGAATGACTTGTTCTTCGACAGTTTTAAAATATCCTTGGCAGTTTTGTCTCAAACTCCCGCTGCATACATTTGATGTATTGCAATGCATTTTCAACGACTTTTACTGCTGTTACTTGCTTCCAACTCAGGAAAAAAGTATTGAGATTGACGCTACCTCGTATCAGAGCTCAGAAAGAACTGTCCAGCACCTTTGTTTATGACTACAAAATGAGCACGAGCGGCAGTTCTGCGAGGAATTCGCACCTCACCCAGGAGGGATGAACGACAATGATGACCATGCCTGTAAACCGAATAACATCACAGTGCAAAATAAAATTATCCCAAAAATACTGCCCGTGAATAAATTTACAACTCTGAAATTTTTGTCACTCCTTCCTTCAATGAATCCATGGGTATTTTTTTCTTGATTATTATGTTTGCTCTGCAATACATGTTTATACGGATCGGTTCACATACGTGGGCATCATTATCATTCGTCCCCCCTGGCTGAAGTGCGAATTCCTCGCAGAGCTGCCGCTCGTGCTCATTTTCTGGTCATAAACAAAGGTGCTGGACAGTTCTATCTGAGCTTCGATACAAGGTAGCTTACAATCCCAATACCTTTTTCCCGAATTGGAAACAACGTACAGCAGGAAAAGCCGTTGGGGATGCATTGCAATACATCAAAATGTATGTAGCGGGAGTTTGAACCAAAACTGCCAAGGGATATTTTAAAAATGTCGAGGAACAAGTCATTCGACGTCAGAGCAAAGTTTGGAGCAATTTATAGTGCTTCTAAAACTGAAAAGTACCTTTTAAAGAATAGCACGATAGGCAATCGGCTTCTGTTTTCAGAATTAGCAAACACTGAATTTACTTGTCCCGAAAATTGAAACTGGTGTCTCCTTCTTCCTGATAGTAATTTATTTTTGAAATTCCAAAACAATTTCAGAGCTGAATTTTGAGCGACTTTTAGTTACGGACTTCTGCTCCAACGATTTTTCTGAAATTCCTCTGGCATATTTATTATGTCAATTAAAGCCGATACCAGAAATTTCACTAAAAAATATCAGCAAAATTTTTTACTAGACGCGATTTTCTTTGAACAGTAGGGCCCTTTTAAGCGCTAATTTCTCAAGAAATATTTACCAGCAATGAAATCGGAATATTTCGTATTAATTCCGAATGATATCTGTTGTTTTTTGCAAAGTTTCGCAGCCATCGCGTTGAAATCGAAAAAGCTATGACGGAAAATTTGTCACAGCTAAATGCCCTTGTATTAATTACGGAGCCACCTTAACATGAAGATGCAAGATTTGTTCTTTCCAGGTGTAATCATATGACGAACTATCTCAGTCAGGCTTGGCATTGGAAGTGGGAAAATACAATATCACCAGATTCAGATTCCAGGTTGGGCTCGGGCGTTGACAGCAAGAATGCCGTTCAGCTTTGACCTGATACTGGTAATCCTGGCAATAAAAAAACTGACCCATATTGTTTGCAAGAAGTGAAAAAGAATGTGTGGAAGAGATCGATCTTTCTTCATATTCAATAAACTCTTACTTGCCGCGAAAAGTCTCCTCTGGTCTGTGCTGTTATCTTCGATAAACTGATTATAGTAAACACGGCGTGCCTCATTCACCAAATTCACCACACGATTTCTTTCCTTCTTAAAAGCGACAAGATCAACAGGTTGTCTTGTAGCTCTCCACGTCTTTTCAGCATTTCGTCTCAAGCGTCTGGCATTCCTAATATCTTCATTGAACCACGCAGCAAGAGGCCTGACATTAATGTCACGAGTTAAGACAGGTGCATACATATCCAGTTGAGATCGTAACGACTCATTATAACAGCTGTCTAGAGAGTCTAAGGCGTTAGGTGGATCATGATTAAGCTGAGAAGAAGGAATGGCCTCAGAAAATTGGATGGGGTTAATTGATTTCATTTTCCTGAACTGCACATGCGTGACATTAGCTTGAGGTCTATCAGATCTTATTTGACAGAAGACTAGAAAATGGTCGGAGAATAACTCACAGCAAAGAATGTTATCAGATGTACGAGTGATAATCAAGTCAAGTGTATGACCAAGTTCATGCGTAGTAGACAAACATGCCGCGTGAGACCCATCGACTCCATTATATCCGACCGGTAGGTCGACCATACGGATGTTAAAATCGCCCAAAATTATCAAGGGCTCTCTTGACATGACCAGAGACTCAAGGTAAAATCAGTAAAGGGCTCACTGAAAAATGTGGATGTGGTCACAGGATGTTTAGCAGAATATGGAGGCCTGTAAAATGTAACGAGTCGTAAACGAGAAGTAGTTCCTAGGAAACTTAGTCCGTTTATAAGTTTACTAGGAAACTTATTCCCACCATGTTTTTACATCAACAGGTCTTTACATTGATGATTCTTTGTATCCCTCAGTGACCAGAGAGGCTCTTACAATTTTGCTCTCTCACAGGTGTTCCCATACTCTGGATAGTGTTGGGAGTTTCCGTGGCTCTTTCTGCTTTGGTGTTGGGGATAATTGTGTACCGTAAGAGAGCAAAGAGGAATGAACGGTATTTCATATTTCTATAGGAATGATTAAGATGTATTATGATAATGATATGCATGCGGAAATAGACGATATTTTTCCTGTGTAAGTGTCTGTCTTGAAGTGTCCGTCTCACTCAGTCAATTCGCGCTGGTGAGTGACCTTCCTTACATACCAAGGCGATGTAACTTTTATCACCTTGTATGAACTAGGAAGCCATCTCTGATTTTAGCATTACCACAAAACCATGATTAATGACGCCGAATTTTATTATCATTTAATTTGCACTATTTTCTTTAGGTCCAGTGAGTCTGACATTGCTGAGTTTATGTTGCTGGAAGTCCCACACGAACGGGTTACTATCATGGAGGAACTGGGACGAGGCGCTTTTGGAAGAGTTTATAGGAGCGTAGTGAGGGGGTTACCTGAAAAGAAAACATCCTCCAAACCCAAGGATCACGCTTTGGATTCGCATGAGGGACGTATTGTTGCTACAAAAGTTCTACCAGGTGCGTGAATTCAGAATGTGGCAAAAAGATGACTTACTCTTTCAGCAAACGATATTCAAGGGAGTGATTCTTATTAATAACAGGCAAGGGAGCCTCTCTTGTAACAGCGGGTTTGAATTATTTAATCCAATAGATAGCAAACATTATATCGTAGCAAACAGCATCTCAATGCCCCAGTCGGTAACAGTGTGATGTACCTCAGGGGCCCATTTTAGATCCTTAAATTTTGTTTTCTACTTATATTAATAACCTCCCTGAATGTTTGAAATTTACCACACGTTTTGCAATGAATAAATTAATGTAGACATAAAAACCTTCAGTGAGATCAGAACATTGATAAGGTGTGCTCCAAGGTTAGTCGTATTACAAATGGTCTTAGACAGGTTCGAGATTGTGTCACAATGCACTAAAAAGTATATAGCGCTAATAAATCGATGCCCGTGTTCAAGCGAAAACGGAGCGGGCACCTTTTAACAAAACCACGCAGATATAAAAAATGCAAAACAGAGCAGGCTGCATGATCACTTCTCAGAGGTGTGACATGACAACATATTATCTCTTTAAACCAATTCAAGATGTCAGTGCATGCCTTCGTAACGTGTAGATCGGTCGTTCTCTTAAGTGATTTTTCGAAATATGTTATTCACATGTTTCAGTCACTTGAGAACTTTATCTGATCGTATGTGGTTGTAAATATGACCACATTACTACAGCTTTACTTAGAGAACTACATTGGCTTCCCTTGGAGCATGAGTAGCGGATTTTAAATTATTTATGTCTGAGCTATAATCATCATTTGTTTCAAACTCCTAACATGTCTGTTAGGAGTTCACGATCATCAACCATGAACTTGTTAATTAGTGACACCCAGATCGAGGCTAAAACTTTTAGCGGACGATCTTTTTCGTTTTGAGCCCCTAAACTTTGGAATGATTCTACAGAGCACATACAGTATAAAATAGAGTTTGGATATTCGTTCCTCTAAGAGTAATCTTAAAGCTTTAAAAACCTCTAAGCGTTATTTTTATTTTGTAGTTGTGTTTAACAATTTTTCTTTTTTGTCAGTGTTACGAGATACTGCTTTCTAGTCGTTTAAGTTTAAAACATTTATTTGATGACGACGACGGTGAGCTGAAAACCCTCGGTGAAACTCAACTACGAAAGCATACTGGGATGTCCCTGTCTATTCAGAGTCAATGAAAGTGAGCCAATTGGATAGACGCGTTAGGATTACAAATGTACACTCAAGGAAAATCATATTACTGGAGATAAAGTACCCGTTGGTCGAGAATAGGGAAGCAATTAAAGAACACAAAACGTGACGTCTAGAATTAAAGAGATAAGTTTCCGGACTAAAAGATCTTCCAGTATTACATCATGTTACACGTCGTGCTTGGTGATCGCTAGATGAAGAGAACTAACGGTTTATCTTTGAAACTGTTTTATCTACGTCACTTAACTTAGGGAACCAATTTTTTAACAAACAGATTTTTTTCTCAAGCAGAAATTAGGACCTGAGCTATTGACTGTGTTTTATTTTCATAGGTTAAATATACTTTCATTTTAATTAGTTCCTTTTTTCTTTACATCTGGTTTTAGTTGTTTAATACTAACTGATATCTTGTAGCATATACGTAGGTCACGGTTACCTGATTTTTTTTAAAATGTCTTTTTGTTTTTAGAAAATGCCACGGAGGAGGACAAACAGCAGTTAGTTCGGGAAATTGAGTTGATGAAGGAAGTCGGAACACACCGTAATATTGTGAGCATGCTCGGCTACTGGATCCAATCACATCCCATCATGTTAATCATGGAATATGTTCCAAACGGAGATCTTCTTCAGTGGCTCAGAAACAAAAGGCAACAGGTATCATTACTTTATCAGCTGTATCAATAAAAATTTGCTGGCCTCTTTTTTGCCTTTTGTTTAAAAAATATCTTCTCTCCATTCGCAATAGGTCTGCGCACAGGCACTATTTATAGAACTCAAACTCAGACAAACAAATTCCTTAATTTTGTTTGTCTTTTTGTTATTAAAATGTCAAGTTTGTCTGACTTTTGTCGTGAAAATAACAAAAATGGCAGATTTCAGACAAACATGGCAAATTAGTCACACTGACGTCATTAGTATTCTGTGCTGCACTTTAATTTTCTAATGAATATCGTTCTGGGCGTGTATGTTCTTTTTCATACATTGTGTGGTCTCTTAAGGCAGAAGGAAAATCCTCTACCTCATCACACGTCTAAAAACCATCATCTTCAGTAAAAATGATAAGATGGTAAACAACTTGATGTGAGAATTTGTACATGTTACCTATAATACAGAGGTGCACTAACTGAATGTAGATATCAATGCAACCGGATATTCGTATTTTTCCAAACGCGGTTTATTCAGCCAGACTGTTTAGATGCTATTCATGTATTCGGAAAACAAAGATCGGTAAATACACAACAATTTGTATTCAACGCTGAGTTAATAAAGCCAAGCTTGCCCTGGTACGATCAGTTAAGGTTTCCGGCAAACTGCCCACCTATCCCTCCCCTAAGTCACATTTTGCCCTGAGTGAGAAGGTAGTGTTAATGTTGTCTTAGGAGAGGGGAAGGTGGTCAGAAAAGAAAACAAAACAACGTTTTGAGCGTTTACCCCTGGGGGTACTCCCGCCCGATAGGATGAGGATCTCCATCCTTAAATATGGTAATGTTATTCTATCAGGTAAAATTCATGTGCGTTAATGCCCAACACACGAGAAACAAATCATAGATCTGTTAAAACTGAACTTTACCCTAGAGCTGATTAGGAGCGCGATTCAAGGAAGTTTTTTTCTGTTTCCTTCAATTCTTAGGTTTTGTTTTTCCCTTGAACTGGGCCTCATTTTCCATGTTTGGGTCTTTAATATGATATTGGTTTTCGCTTGTCTCAACTATTCGAAATTTTTGAGAGTACCCCCCTCCCCCCCAGGTGGGCATTAACCTTTTCTGGTCAGAATGAATCACGGGATTACTAATGGTGGAGCTACTCTATTGTTTGAACATGGTAACAAGACAAGAATAGTTTACTTCAAAGAAGGCTTTTCATTCTAGTAATTTACTTGTTTCTTTTCTCATTTTCCCATGTATTCACCAACAGTTGAGGTCCGCCATTTGATAAACCGTCCTTGATTCGAGCTGACAAGGGGCTTCCACTCAAAATGCTAGTCAACTTTTCGATCCACGGTCTTTCAATGGTGGCAAGATGAGTTATTCAAATCAGCCGATAACACCAGAGTTTTGCTTTTCACCCACTGACCGAAGCAGTAGAAAAGTTTCTTTTTAAAAGACGCTTCAAAATATTTTGGTGGACATAAAGATTGTCCGTCCAGAGTTTCTAAACCGCCGCCGTCTGCTGAGCGGGAGGCCGTAGGTTCAAACCACGGCCGCAGCAACACCCAGGGTCTTTAAATAACTGCGGAGAAAGTGCTGCCTTTGTATAACTTCTGTAAACGGTTTGACTTTCTGGTCTTCTCGGATAAGGACGATAAACCGTAGGCCCCGTCTGACAAGCCCTTGCACATGTATTAAATCTGTGGGACGTTAAAGAACCCACACACTCGCTCTTCGTGAAGAGTAGGGCACGTAGTGGCTGTTGTAGTGGTTTATCTCACTTTCACACTCATTTATGGGGGGCATCATTACTCATTCCTTCACTACTTGTAAAATGCACCTTAAGCAGTCTGGCAAAGTCCCCCAAACAGTATTGTAAATTACACATTACACGTCCCGAAAGCCCTGTATGAGATATGACGTTTAATCCATTTGAATTTTCCGTGGACGCTTTAAAGAAAGTTGGCCAATAAGGTATTCCCTCTAGTCCCGGCTAGATTTTCAGTTTAACGTCGGTTAAGTAATCTTTCAATTCACATGGATTCCTTTTAAATTGGTAAAAATATTTCGGCTAACCAACTGATAGTGTTGAAATTGTTTCTGCTGACAAAACCGTTTCATGATCAGACGGAATTCATTTCAATATTTTTTTGCAGTTTACAATGAAAAAGAGTCGTCAAAGTGATGTCGTTGCAAGGCTTAAGCCTCCTGTTCCTGAGAGACCGAAATTGGTGTCCAGGAACCTGCAAACAAAAGATGTCCTGGATGAAAACCTGAAAGAGGAGAAGAGCGAAAGAAATAATGAAGAAGGTGGAAAAGACGGTGGTTACCATTGCAGCGAGACGAAGGAAATTAAAATCGACCTGGACGACGTTGAAAGAGGAATTCTAATCAAAGATACTCCTCGATCTGAGATGGAACCTTCTTGCTTAAACCTGGGTTACGAAGATGACAAGAAGGAAGAAGAAAGTGACGATGTTAACACGTCATTTCAACAAAATGAACGGCGAAAGGGGTCGGTTACGTCGGTGATGGTGTTACCTTCGATCAATATTGCCCATTTCTCCAAAGAAAAGGAGCTCACTCCTGCTGAGGCTTTAAGAAACGTCGAAGAAAAGATCACCATCGAGAAAGAAGAAGGCAGCTGTGAGGGCAAGGAAGATGATGAAGAAGACATTTCTGGGAAAGAAGTTCTTTGTTATGCGTGGCAGATTGCTAAAGGGATGGTAAGAACTTTTTCGACTGAAGAATGTCTTTAGCAATTTAGTCATCGTTTGCAAATCACAAAAATCTGCCTCTTCCCCGTATTTAAAATACTTTACTACTAGTTTTTTCTGTGTCTGCAAGTATTATGCTATCCGGACACGAGACGGCAGATTTTTCAAGCATTCAAATTGCTGCGTTAATTATAACAGACCATTATAGGGCTAACTACTATCTCGCTGAATTTTTCGTGAAACATAGCACACATAAAATTGAGCCGTTTTATTTTAAAAAAAGGTCAAAAACGTGTTTTTTTTAATAGCCCGAGAAGCCTAAAAATCACATGGAGCAGCCGTGAAGCTACCTATTGCAAAATCAGGTCTGTTCGTATTTTCGAAAAGGTGTCCAATGAATACAGCCATATGACCTGAATAAGGCTAAGCTATCAGTTATTTAATTTGAATCGTACAAGCCTGACATTCAGGGACGTTGCCAGCTTTTTGGCTAGTTGTAGGCCTGGCTGACTTTCATTTCCACATATCCTGAAAATTGTACGCATGACCAGTACGCACTGACCTCACCAACACTTTGAGCTCTTGTGTTTTTTCAGCTGACTCCAACAACGCATAATTTGTTACAAGCGGTAGAGTGATCAACCCAAAAATTTGAAGGCCCGGGCCTACAGGGCTATGAGCTGGCTACGCCCCTGAGAAAAGAAGGGAAGTAGAGAAAAGAAAAAGCAATGATTAAGTTTGTGTTGGGGACTGGAAGACTGAGCAGCAAGGACTTCCTAGTTAAATACTCCCTTAATCGGAATCTTGGAAAGCACAATAAACGGTCTGCAAGTGGAACTGATGATTAAAGCTAAGGGATTGCTTTTTGTAAACGGCCACCATGATGGTATTTGCTAACTATTGTAAGCTCAATTGGTATACCGTAAAATTCCGAAAATAAGCCCTGGGGCTTATATTTTTCAAAGGCCTTTTTTGAGGGGCTTATTTTTTGAGGGGCTTATATTCGGAGGGGCTTATCTAAGGAGGGAAATTTGCGTTTCAAAATCGATCGGGCTAGCCTTATAGTTGGAAGGAAATTTACCGTTTTTTCTTTGTTTTTCTTTTTATTTAAGGGCAATTTCCAAGTACAAGCTCCCCGGGGGGCTTATATTTGGAGGGGTGATTTAACGGAGGGTTTTTTGCGTTACGAGTTTGGGGGGCTTATATTTGGAGGGGCTTATACATGGAGGGGCTTATTTTCGGAATTTTACGGTATCTTCTGGCTCAGCTGGATATTTGGCTTTTGGGTTTAGCAAATAACTCCCTCCTGGTGATCCGCCTCTATCAATTGCTGTTTATTCATTAGTATAAACGAACCTTTTTTAACGAAAAAATCTAATCTCTAAATGAATAATGTTCACCAGGTATACCGTTTTGGGTGACTTCGAAATAGAAGTCAGTAGTATAGTAAGAACCGATAGTTTTTTTTTTTCTTTTTCGGGCGTGGCAGTCTAAGGAGGGTTTTATTCCACTCACCTTAAGTCTCCCTGAAAAACAGCATTTAATTAAGTGTCAACAGGTGTCAACGGGTTTTCTTCCGAGGTTGAAATCTTAACTGAAAACCTTATTTTTCAGCCAATATTCATCCCTTCGAGTTATCGAGGGTAAAATTGCATGAAAGTGATCTAAAGGGAAACAAAAATTACTTCAAGTTAGCGGGAGTTTCGAGTTATCGAGGGTTCGAGTTACCGAGGATAAATTACAGTAAAGGAAATCTAGGGGAAATAGATTCTGGTTCGAGTTAGCACAAGGTTCGAGTTAGCGAGGTTTCGAGTTATCTGGAGTCGACTGTAGTTCACTCAGCTTGTTCAACTTTGACGGCTTTTTGTGCTGAAAAGTATACGTCGCGGGGATATTGTAAACCAATTCCTTAATTTGTTTCTTCGTTTTCCAACAGCTGTGACGGAAATCCTCCCTCCATTCTTCATGAATAGGCCGACGATCACTTCCTCCCGCTTTCCGGACCGTTTGTCAGACACATCTTGCAGTAGCCTGTTCCAGGCTCTCGATAGTAGGGCTGGCACCGGCAAAAATAAGGCAAAAAAGCGTAAGGCACCGGCAAAAAAGTGTAAAGCACCGGCAAAAATATAAAAGCGTGATCTAGGAAAAAGGGGCGGTGACGGGCTATTTTTGAGCCTGGAACAGACGTTTCATTGCACTTGGTTGCTTTTCAGCCAAATCGTTAAATCGGGAGTTCGTTTACAACGATATACCGATTAAACTGCTATCCCCCTGCCATATCGTAAAATCGAGCTTCCATTTTAATTTCATATTGGAATCTGGTAACTGAGAATTCTTTGAGAAATAATTTCGTTATTTCTCTGCCAGGAATACTTGGCCAGCAAAGGATTCATTCATCGTGACCTGGCAGCCCGTAATATCCTACTTGGTGAGGACAGAGCGGTGAAGATTGCTGATTTTGGTTTATTACGCCACGCAAATGAGAGTGAAATATACGAAGTTACGAGCGTACACAAGCTACCAATGAAATGGATGGCACCTGAAGCGTTGGAAAGCGGCATTTTTACTTTCAAGACTGACGTGTGAGTATATGTGAACGAGGTCACAGTTAGGCCAAGCTTAGGCTTCCTGTGATGCAGTGTGAAGTTGAGGTTTTAGATAACATAGACCCAGCAATGTACTGTTTAGAACTGTCTGAAGAAAAAGAGCACAATTTTGATCACGACACTGTCTACAGTAGCGGTTATCACTCTATCTCTAAAGAAATACTCAAGTGTTTGGAAAACATTAGCCTGTTCCAGACGTGAAACTTGAAAATAAGATTTATAAACAGAAACTTTGAGCCGATGAAGTTAATCAGAGACCATCTTGGATCCTAGATTCCACGCTCCACATCCCGCATTCCAGATACTAGATTCCGGATTCCAACTCAGTGTATTCCAGATTTCAAAAGGCCTAGATTCCAGAACTTCATAGTTAGCTGGACTTCGGATTCCAAAGTCCACGACTCCAAGCAAAAATTTCCTGGATTACCATCCATGGGACGAGATAAACAAAATTAATATTTCTGTGAAGTTAATTCTTGCAATTTCTTTATCTGCTTCCTTTTATTGCAGATGGTCTTTTGGAGTTGTTTTGTGGGAACTAGCAACCATGGGTAAGCTAGTTTTATAAATCTTTGTATACTGATGCTGGTAGAATAATACTCTAGTCATTTTCCTATACCCAAGGGAATTGAGAGGAATCCCCAATAACAATAATCAGGGAAAAGCTGACTGTTCAGTTTTCGGATAGCAGTCACGGGAGAATCGAACCGTTTTATAAAAGAAGCCATTCTTGCATAATGTCATGATTGCTAAACAACTAGAAAAAATAATAGGCTAACTTCCGCCGCTCTCCTAGCCGTCTTTACCGGGGGGGGGCGCAGGTTCATAATAATCCAGCCTATAAGTCATACCCTTAACAACAACTTGACCTGATATCACGTGTCACTTGGCAAAATGAATACTCAGTAATGGTAAACTTGTACATTACGTTATTTTAATACCTCCTGGAGGTTGGTAAATTGATAATACATGATGGTCATTGAACTGAGTGGAGAGCAATTTGGTCTGAAATTATACATGTGATTTCACGCGGGAGTTCGATTTGAGATCAGAAGTATGATTTCAGACTAAAATTGCACGACACGAAGTGAAATTATCACTTTATTACAGCCATTTTGAAATCGCAGAATTCAATCCGTACCAGCAGTGATTGGCCGTGGCACCAGACAAGTTAGCTCGTTATCCCCCATACTCGTTAACATATATTTTGAAGCCATGTTAAGAGATGCTTTAAGTGGTGTGAATGAAGGTATTCGAGTGGGAGGTCATCTCATTAAGACAGTGCGCTTTGCGGATGATCAAGCAACCTTAGCCAATTCAGTTAAAGGTCTGCAACTTATGATGGGTAAAATGCAGGAAAACGCGAGGGAATATGATATGAAGATCAATGTTAAATCAGTAAGAGGCCTGGTGAGGAATTCACGATCTTTCTTGAAGGTAAACAATTAAGTGAAGAATCGTCGCACTTTAACTACTTTGGGAGCCCTATTACACAGGATGGATCCTGTGGAAAATAAATTAGATCGAGAATAGCCTTTTTTTACTAAAAAAAAAGAACCGCTGACAAAAGCCTTAAGCGCGCTAGCCTTTGCCTGAAGAAGAGAATTATAAAGACTGTCATCTGGGGTACTTTTCTGAATGGAGCCGAATGATAGACCTTAAAGAAAGAGGACGTGCGAAGGCTGGAGAGCTGTGGGATGTGGCTTTGGAGAAAGATTTTTTAACATAACTTGGTGTGACAAAGTCTGTAACGAAGAAGTATTGAGGCGTGTCGGCGAGGAGAGGGCCATCATATCTGTTATCAACAGAAGCAGGAGCTTGACAGAAGACAGAGAGTCTGGCTTGGTCAAACCCTACGACATGGTGATCATGTCCCATTAGTTATTGAGGGAAGGATACCAGGAAAGAGACCACCTGGAAGACCTCGAGCGGGAATGCTGGATAGAGTGAAGGATGGCAGCTCTTACGTAGCGGTCAAGAGGCGTGCCTTAGATCGAGAACCATAAGGAAGGACTTGCCTGTGAGCAGATCAAATAGCCTGTTGAAAAGCGGAAACAAAAGGGCGTTTACATCTCATTTTGTATTCGAAACAGAAATGAGGCGATATAAAGCAAGGTGCGACGGTGCGACGTGGTTTAGAACAGATGTGATTGTATGATTCGTAAATAAATCACACTGCTGAGAGCCAATCAGATTGGAGGGATCACCAGCGATTTCAAAATGAAAAATTAGAAAAGCCTGATAATGTTTGATAAGACAGCACTGATCTTTATTCTGTTATTTTAGGGGGTACTCCATACCCTGGGATAAGCCCCATGAGGCTATGCAGTTTACTTAAATCTGGATATCGGATGGAGAAACCCAACACGTGCAGCGGTGAAATGTAAGTCAGAATAGAAATAATAAAAGACGCCCCAAAAGAGGGTACGATGAAGAACTACTTTCATAGTCCTTCAAACAGTTTTTTTTTTCTAAAATTTTCAGCCTTTTACAAGGAGTGGAATCTGCAGCGCACCTCTTTCCTTTACGTTCCACCATTCTAAAAAGAGCCTATAGAACATAAGTGTCTTCAATATTCAAAGTAAACGGAGACATATCTTTGTATAGTGGTATTTTAAACTATGACTTCCTTTTTCAACAGATACAAATTGATGATGGACTGCTGGAACGAGGATCCGAATGAACGACCCTCATTCGTTCAACTAGTACCGATACTGGAAGAGATGATGACAGAAGATACCCCTTACTATTATTTCAGACTACTGGATCAGAACCAGCCATGTTACCGTGAGGCATCCGCGACTAACACCAGTAAAGCTAGTACTCTTGATACGAAGCTGTAATTTCTGTAGGGTCTCTACGGTCTATGGTTTAATTTTTGTCAAAACACCCTTTTTTCTTTAGATTGTTACAGGGGTCTCGGGGGAAGGTGGGGGCGGGGGGAAAGCTTCAATATGAAAGCATAGGGGAATGTTCGACGGATAAGTAGATTAACAATTGCAGTTGCACCGTCTGCAGTACCAAGAAACTATACTCATAATCTGAACACCGTTGTTTTCATCTTCACTGTTTGCCAGTATTCATAACCAGTCTCCTCAGTTACGATCACAAAAGGCAGCCAAAGTAGAACACTCTCTAACTCATTATGACAACGTCTTTTTCTATACAGATATTTCTACGCGCAAACGGACGCAACAACTTCCAACAATGTTGAACAATGTTGCGAGTTGTTGGCCAACAAAGTTACGTCCGTTTGCAGCTGGTTAAGCGACACATTTATGGTTAAAAATAGTGGCTTTTTGTCTTGCACAGTCAAAGTGAGACCAAAAACTGCAATGTCTACGTCTAAGAGAGACGAGCAACCCCATCATTTTCATATGGGAGTTCCCTTGTCCACCAAGGAACAGGACTTAGATGACGAGCGCAACTGTTTAATGGGTTATTGCAATAAAATACCTAATAATATTTAATTTCATTTGAAAGACATCGAGAAAATACTGAATAGCTCTGGTAATATAACAATTTGTAGGGACTAAAATCTTTTCATTCTCTACAAATGACTATTAAGTTGTTAGTAGTTCGGATTGTTTCTTCTACTTTTTAGTCTGTCCACACTATACTGGAAGTAGATTTTCGTGTCGACATGAAAATGTATCCGGTAGTATGAACGACAACCGGATAGAACTGGAACAAGTCGTCCACACATATCGAACATCGCATCAGAGCGGCCGGTTGGCCGAGAGGCCAGTTTGGTGTACTAAATCCCAGTCCTCTCTCCTAACCTAATGATGATCCATTTTTCAAGATCGGCGGCGGCGCAGTTTCGTTCCTTAAAAGAAATAGCCGGAAAATCACCGTTTTTCTATATGAACTGACAGAAGCAAAATCCGGTAGTATTTTCATGTCGGTGCAAGGGCTATCTGATCGTAGCCTTCAGAGTTTCTCATACGCCAGCTATTAACCTACCACATAATTCCGTGGCTACAATTCAATGTTACGAACGTTTCAATCGGCTAGGTTAGATTACAACATTGCCACTCGCTATAAACATGTCATGTCATGTTGGAGAAACGAACTATTGACTCAAAAAGGTGACATCAGGAGTAAGGTGATAAAAGGCACTTCGGTTCACCATAACTAATATTGCGGCAGTAGAAGAAAAAAAGCTTAATTATTGTAGAGATCGTTGCTGGTGTTGAATAATAATTATAGTGATTATAGTTTATCTTTTGCGTTTCTTCTAGTAGTGTCATTAGCAGATCACTTGGGAAACCCACGTCTGGGTATGAAAAGTGAAGATTCGGATTATCAGGGCAGTTCGGAAAAAAATAACATTCAATTTCCGACCAATGGTGCCAATACAATAAGCAGTGCAGGAACCTTTGTTACAATTTCTGCAGCTAAGGTCTGGTTTGGAAGTCAGTATATATAACACACTATTCTCTAAAGGCACACAATCAGGATCAGAGACGGGAAAGAAGTTATCCACCTCGGCGTTCATCCGATACCCCTCCTCGATCTGCATAATTTATATAATTCTTTTATTTAATGGCTCATACGCCAGGAACGAAGTCAGCACCAGCAAGAACGTTTCAATGGTTAATTTATACAACTATGCATTTATTCATTTAATACATATTGCGTATTTACATAATAATATTGCTTCATTTTATAATGATAATAATAAATTCTTGAATGGCAGGAGTAAGATAAAATATTGTAGGGGCTTCGGTATGAATGGGGTCACTTTGATATATCGTGCTATTATTCAAACTCATAGCCAGGCCAAGAAAACCAGAAGAAACAAAAGTCATCACTCTTCTTCCTCGTGTTCTCAGGACATGACGTCATTGGATATATCGACAGTGGCCTATTTCATAAACTAATGTCCAGCTTTTGTCAGTTTCTATATATTTGATGTTATTCTTTAAAATAAATTAAAGGCTTTTAAACTTTATCTGAGTTTGTGGTCATTTCTGAGTGATACGCTGAGAATCTCGAGAAAAGCAATCTCCCTGTTCCCCACAAGACAGGCTATTCAGCCTAATGATTCAAATTAGAGGAAAAGGGAGACCATTATGTAGTATCTTTGTGTGTTAAAAGGTTAATCCGAATTACACACGTTCTTGATCACATGTCTGACATGTCGCAAAAGGCAAAACAGGTAGTGCAAGATCTTTTTCTCGTACCAGCTAACTGATAAATAACCAATTGTCTAGTCTGTGTATACAGCAACCCCTTAGGATTTTTCCTCAGGAGGGCTATTTTGAATGGACCGGCACAAATTAAATATCATAATTGGACTGGAGAGCGAACTGAGTGAGACAATTTAAGCGTCAGTCAAAAACGAGGGTTGTAAAAGAGCCGGCTACTTGGGCTCTCTAAGAAAGGGCATGACAGATGTCGGAAAATATATTGGAAGTTGGTGCCACAATAAAAATGCTTGTGGAAGTTGTGAAACGTCGAACGCTTGACAAAATTCTTAAAAGAAGACAACCTCTCTGACCATGACTCCTAAAACAAGCAAAACGACCCGTTCTATTTATTCTTCCTTTTTATATCTGCCTTAGGGTAACAATATTCTTATTCTTAGTAATATTCTATTTCACCATAACCGTAAGTGGAACAACTTGACCACCATATTTTTGGGAAGACCGCAGCAGTCTTCATTGGGCAAATTACATTTTTTTGAGTAAACGACAGAAATATGCGCCTTAAAATACAAGCATTTACAGTAGCTCTGTAAAAGCAACCAAGGATTTGCCAAGAAGAATAAAGCTGCGACTGGATTTGGGAGTTCTCGTCAAGTATTTCCACAAAATTTAACAAAGATATTTTTGTACTTGTATACCAATTACGAGCCTTTGGTTGTAAACCGAGAAAGGTTCAATAACTTTGACGAATCTCCACAAAGTATTTTTCTACCAGCACCCCCGAAAACCAAACGAATTCACACTCCAGTCATCCTTAAAAACGGACTTTCAATAGCATGGAGTGAGGAATGCGTGAGGTTCTCGAGGGGCCTTAGTTATGCCAACTGAGAATCTAACACGCCATATTTCCCATACTTCACGGGACCAGGCAAAATGTTCTTTGCGGGGCCTTTCTTAAGGTAATAACAATCTGGTGGGCGCTTCAACATCACGCCATACTCGGACGAAAGGGTCGGTGCTGCTGGTGGTGGTGCAGGTTTTTGAATTGATGTATTCTCTGGAACTAACTCCAGACTCTTTGCTCGGGATAAACCCGGATTATTTGGTCTCGGCGAGCTTTCGCTCGCTTGGTTCAGTTCGCTTCTTGCGGATATATTGGGATCACCATGGACAGTCGAGGGTTTTGATTGTTTCCATGGATTGTGAAGGCCACCAAAGAACCCACGAGCACTCAAAACGAGCAGCCCAGCTGTACTACTGACAACACCCGCTGACCTAGGCGCGTCAGCACTAGATTGACTTTCAGGGGAAGGCTCGGGTCCGTTGGACGCTTCATAGCTAGGACTGTCAGGCAGAAGTTCAGGTGTACTAGACCCTTTACGCTTGCGATGACGTTTCTTCTTACTCTCACTGGTATTGAAGGTATTACTCTACAGGAAATACAGTACTACAGTTGGTAATCATTTCTAGATTAAGAGTGTTTCTCAATAGTGACCGTTAGAGTGCGAGGCGTGAGCCAACATCATTTTGGCGGGAAAACGTGACAGCCGTGGTCATTCTATTACGCGTTCTAATGAGAATGTCATGGAGGCGGAAATAAGTTATCAAATGTTAGAAGTTTTATCATTCTGCGATCGGGAGAGAGCTCAAACTCCTCCAATAAAAATAACCGTTCTAACTTTTCTAGTAAAAAAGTGCAATAAAACTTTTCGGGATAACTATTTTCTGAGAAGAGGCAAAAAAACCTCTGAGTCGTCCATGCTCACAAATCTAAAGGTCTTTATTTTAGAATTGCTCCCTGCGAAAGAAATTCCAGCTTGATCAAAGCGGTGCAATATTTGTCGTGTGAGGAAGTAGCATGAAATCAGAGACAAGAAATCCTACTATCCTGAAAATACAGCCTACTCACATCGCTCCACGCCGTCCGGTCGGGACATTTTTGTTAGGGAGTTTAAGATACGGCGACTACGGACTACGACTACGGTTAAACATGCTATTGCGCATGATCAAAAACACGTGACTGTTCATTTTTCCCGCGTAGTCCTGCGGCTACGGTGAGTTTTTGCTGGTTGTTGAGCTGTTTCGCGTAGTCGGGACTACGGAGAACATTTTTCTCGTATTTTGCCGTCTCGGTAATTCAAGAATCTCGTCTTTTCATAAAAAAGTTTTCAAATCACCTGCTTTAAGTGAGAGGGAAGCGAAATATGTAAGTTGTGTCTAATTTCTGCTCAGATTTACGCTTTTAATCCACTGTTGTGACTACATTTTTATCTAGCTAAGCTCATATTTGAATAAGCTTAGCTGTTTATACGCAGAATTCAGATTGACGGCCGAGGAGAAGAGAAATCATGCAGGTAATTTACTTTCTCTTCGCACTTGAAAAGTTTCAATGTTTGTTCGAACTGATTAGTGTGTCTTTCTACTTGTGTAACCTTTGTTTATGCGAGTTTTTGTATCGCATTTGCTGAATGAAAATGATGTAAACATCTTCGAGACAATCGAAACTCGGTATTTCAATACTTCAAAGTATATCAGATCAGTACGTCGGAGAATCTAATAAATGAGCTATTATACTATTTCTGTCTATTTCTTTAGTATTTGAAAAAAAATAAAACCTGTGTAACCAAAACTTTGTTCGCCAATTTCACCCGACGTAATTGCTTCCTTCAAATATGGAAGAATTTGTTCAT